TTTTTTACTTTTCAATTCATTAAATTTTTTCAATTTTTTTTTTTTTTTTTTTGCAGCATCGGATGATGAGGAAGATTTTCCAACCTCACGGCCGGAAGGAGATTATCTGCTTTACAATAACAACAGCAGCAAAGAGAAATGTGAGATTTTTTAGATGTGTACATCTTTGTTATAAGCACATCCTCTTTGTGCCTAATACAGCAATTGTAGAAATTGATCAAATGCTTGTGATCCTTTCTGAATGCGGTTTTATTCAAGCAAAGTAGTTTTTTTTATCTTGTATACATAGTAATACATAGTAATGAAGACACCGTAATTGATCATCATACTTAAGGGGGTCTGAATACTTTCCGTACCCACTGTATATAAAAACTTACACAGTATACACCAGGCAATGAGCTGCAAAATACACATGCAGTTAGTGGTAGCATCAATTTGGTGTGTGTAAAGACTAAGTGCTTTTTACTCAAATAATGGTGGAAATATTCCATTGCTTACTTCGTTATCCTTTGATAATTGATAAGACACTAATACAGATTTAATTAAGCAACCGAAGTTCCTTCAGAAGTAGAGCTTCAGAAGTTTAAATACTTCTGCTATTTGATGCTCATTTTACTTGATTTCCCTCAGTATTCTCTGTGGACAGCCTCAAAGGTTCCTTAGGCATCGATTTCAAAGGTGAAGCAATCACGTTTAAAGCTACTACAGCAGGAATCCTGTCCACACTGTCCCACTGCATCGACATTTTGGTCAAAAAAGAAGAGAGCTGGCAAAGACGACTTGATAAGGTAGTGTGCAGCTGTAATTAAAAGTATATTTTATCCAAAAAAAAGACCCGACGCAACAGAGTGCAGAGCGGGACAAGACTTGATAGGCGAGTGCAGAGACTCGCGTGTGTGCGCGGAATGCAGGAGAATAAAATGATTCACAGGACTCCCGCAAAATAGAAATATCTAAACATAAAATATCTAAAACAAATAAATTATTCATCTATTGTACAAAAGCTACATGAACTAATATAAACGATTGACAGGTGCAAGCGTATGCAGAGTTTCTATTTAGGCTATAACACGTGTTTGCAGCGTTGATCAATGCAGTGCTGAAATTTGCGTGTTCACGAATCCTCTCATTATAACACACGAATTGTAGACATTATGAAAGATTCATTATGCATATAGCACAAAAGCAACATGAACTAATATAAAATATAAACGATTAACAGGTGCAAGCGTATGCAGAGTTTCTATTTAGGCTATAACACGTGTTTGCAGTGTTGAGCAATGCAGTGCTGAAATTTGCGTGCTCATGAATCCTCTCATTATAACACACGAATTGTAGACATTATGAACGATTCATTATGCATATACGTATTTATTGTGTTAAAAGAGAGATTTGTGAGATTGCGATGAACTGAGATGTCTTTTAGAGATTTTAAATGCAGCGCTCTTTGCTGGCATTCTGCCATGCCAAACCATGCACGCAGCAGCCGCTTGCTTTAGTTAAAAATAACAGCGTTCTATGAATGCTGATGCTTTAATAACAAATATTTATCGGGAGTGTGTATGCTGGGATTTCATAAATTTCATGGAGAAAAAAGTAACGTAACTAGTAATGTAACTAATTACTTTAGAAATAAAGTAATCAGAACAGTAACGTGATTACTTTTAAAAGGAGTAATCAGTAATTTGATTACATTTTCAGAGTAACTTGCCCAACACTGTTCATATGAAATATTTATTGAGCATCAAATCAGTGTATTAGAATGATTTCTAAAGGATCATGTGACACTGAAGAATGGAGTAATGACTGCTGAAAATTCAGCTTTGCTGTCAGAGAAATAAATTACATTTTTAAATATATTAAAATAGAACACAGTAATTTTAAATTGTAATAATATTCACAATATTACTGTTTACTATATTTTTTATCAAATAAATGCAGCCTTAGTGAGCATAAGAAAATTAATAAATAAAAACTTTGTTACCATTCCCAAACTTTTGAATGGTAGTTTATGTTAACATTGCTCTTTTCAGTATAACAAAGCATAAGTGACCAGGAACTCTTTAAATGGCAAATGGAATTGGACCACTGTGTTAATCTGTGTTTTCAGAGGGTTCTCTATTGCTGATGAAACATTTTTAAAAACAATTATTGTTACATTTTTTATTTAAAACATGAACAATTTTTTTTAAACATAAAAAAATCTTCTGTAATGTATAATTCTATTGATATAACTCGGTTATCAATTGTTTTTCTTTACTACTGTGTTATTACTATTTGTTTCTTTTAAAGTACATTGATCTTGCCATGAAAACAGCCATAGATGCTGGTAAGCAAATAAACCACAGATGGTCAAGTTCCACAAAGTCATCATAAAAGAAGTCCATACTACTCCTGTGTTATATTTCAAGTCCTCTGAATCCTTACCATAGCTTTGTGTAAGTAACAGACCTCGGTTTAGTCTATTATAAAAAAACAGCATAAACAATCTTCAGAGTAAGGCCCTCTAAAAAAAGAAAGGAAGAAAAAAAAGTAATATGGGTTGGAGTAAATTATGACAGAATTTAATATCCCTAATCATTCTGGTTTTACAGGAAATATTAATAGTTTAGGGACTATCAAACACTTTTGTCATATTGAAACTACTGGGTGCATTTCGATGCAAATAAAGCATTCGGCATCAAGCAGCTCTGCAATTTTTTCACAAGCTTAATCTGGGCACTATTTACATACCCATACACTTCCCACATAACACCTTAATTACTGGATGAGTCAAAAAGATACATCCATTAAAACAAAAGTGCATCTACTGTAGTTTCCAGGAGCCTTGCATTCCTCACATTCAGCGCCACTTTATGTGGGAGCACATCTCCAAAGCCACACGTCATTAGCATCTTAGTGTAAAGCTTCTGCTTGCACTTGCTCGACCAGTTTTTCCATCTACAGTCCAGCCCCCGGTATATTATCATGAGCCAGGAAGCAGCTTCTTGAATTCCAGCCGCCACAGAGAATCTGGACGGGTGTGATTTTACAGTGTGTTTATAGTCATTCAACAGGACTTGATGGACCTTTGAGCAGAATAAAGCTTTTTGCAAAGTAACCAGAGTTCCACATTTCTGAGGATTGTGTGTTGTGATGTTAGCAACTGGATTGTAGAGGATGACTACAGTGTACAGTGCTTCAGCGTTGAAGCCGTGGCAGAACTGGGTGGCCGGGTCTCTTCAGAGTGCTAATGAAAATTGGATTCCTCTGTGTATGCAGAGCAGCTTCTACTCTGTAGGTTTGACATGCTTTGTTCAGTTCACTGGTTATTTGCTGCTACATTCTGTTTTAAGTGTCAAGTTGAGTCACTTGAAAATGTTTTAGTCATCCATATGTGCTGTGGAAGTGTATGTGTTTACATTTTCACCGAAACTCTGCCATTGCAGAGTTTAGTAGAGTCACGTTACCACCTTTTGACAGTTGTTATCACCTGTCATATAAGCCGGGTGTTGTCAGTAATTGTCTCTCGTGACATCTTGCAGAGAGAGAGGTGTTTCGGTGCTTAAAGCTAAACCACACCTGCCAGTTTCAGAACAGATCTTATTTATAATGCAAGAACATTATGCACCAATTACTTGTCTACAACACCCAAAGCTGCTCAATTAGCCAACTGAACAACCACTTTTTAGTGAAGGTTTCATGTTGTAGCGGAAGGTTCTGCTTCAGTTGTGTTATTTAAAGAAGGTTTGAGTGATTTGGAGGTTTGCTTTCTGCAAGCTATTCAAGCTAGTTTTCTCTTCAAGCAAGTCTAGAGAGCGGGTGATATGGGCTCCACCCTTTGTTAGATGAATGACCTTCCAAAGAGGCAAGACACAATGGTATCTTCAGTGGCATCTGTAGTGGGATTGACAATTGAAATGGGTATGTTTGCTTAAGCATGAAACTGCAAGAACTGTCAGAGTTCCTGTGTCATGTCATTGGTCTGCTCCAGATTCTTTATTTGGATCCTAAACAGGCGTTTCTTGGATTAGTTTGTAAGCAAGCTTTGTTTAGCAGCTAGCAAGTTGCAGAACTCTAACATCTTCCCCAGTCTAAAAGATTGAAAGGAACTAGGCAGCAAATTGGTTTGTTAAAATATTAAGCAGCACAACTGTTTTCAATAAAAAAAAATAAAAAAATTTGCACGTTAAATCAGCATATTAGAATGATTTCTGAAGGATAATGTGACAGTGAAGACTGGAGTAATGGCTGCTGAAAGCTTTTAAAAAATATTAAAATAGTAATATAATATATAAAACAGATATTTAATATTATCTAACTGTATTAGTGTTTTTAATATTTTGTTTAAATAAATGCAACCTTGGTGAGGATAAAAGAGTTCTTTCAGAAACATTAAAAAAAAAAGAAGTCTTACAAACCTCAAAATTTTGATCGCTAATGTATATTTACATGTCTGTTGGGTGATGAAAAACTTGTTCCACGCAGAAGCGAAAGCAGAATAGATGCTATTATTCTTTCCCAAATACCGTAAAACTTTATAATTGAATAAATAAAGAAATAAAATGTAAGAGTGTGGGGAAAAAATATTATTATAAAAATGATTTATTAATTATATATTGTTATGAGCCATTGAAGATCTTCTTGAGTGCATTGTGATGTATACTGGATATAGTATGAGTAACATTCTTCTATCATTCATAAGGAAATTGAAAGGAGAAGACGTGCTGAAGACGCCTATAAAGCTGCACTGACAGAGCTGAAGAAGAAGCCTCATTATGGAGGACCAGACTATGAAGTGCGTCCACAGCCTTTAATTCACACTGTCCTTTACATCTTGGTTCAACACACACCCTCCATTCCAGACTGAGAAATTCTCTCTGTGCAGGAAGGACCAAACAGTCTGATCAATGAAGAGGAGTTCTTCGATGCTGTGGAAGCTGCATTGGATAAGCATGACCAGATCGAAGAGCAAGTAATGATCCAACCATTGTTATTTCAAACATGATATGGATTTGTTATACATTTGTACAGCCATTCCATTAGTTACAATGGCTACATTTCCATGAAATTGACTGTTTGATTACATCATCATGACTTTTGAAGTGTAAATGTATACAGAAGGATTATGTTTGTGCTTGCAGTTGTGTGGAAAACCTGGGAAAACCAAAGCGATCAGAGTGGCCTAGCGGTTAGCAAACATGCTACTGAACTGTGGCACTGTTGCTGTTGTCACTTTTAAGGCCCTCTAAACAAATTTAGCCAAGTACACAGTTTTTTAGTTCACACATACATTTTTACATTAAAACGGAGTTGTAGTCATTTTAAGTCAGTAGTCATTTAGTTCGTTAGTTTAGTTAAGTCAGATTATTTTTGACCACAATAAAGACCAGAAAGTTCACTATAACTGTATTGTTTTTTTTACAGAATTCTAATTCTGTGAGAATAGCGAGGTTCACACCACAGCTATAACAATTACAACCCAGAGGAGCAGCATCTTTATTATTACATTAAGAATTTTTTTTCCAGTTGAATGATGATAAAAACATTGACAGTCAATCAGAATCCACCTGACTTTAAAGAGCATTTAAAGTGGCAGTAGACATAACTAAACAGAACATAAACGGAACATTTAACATCCGTTGGTTTGGTGCTAAATTAGGTATCATCTAGTTATTGTTATGGTTGTAAAACACACTCTATATTGTTTAAAGTCTGGTTTGATGTTAAAATCAATGTTATCTACCAATGTGATGATTAACAAATGGCTATTTTCATCCTTGTTGATAAATCAGCTGACCACTAGTTGGAACCAGAGCTGATAATGAATGTAGACCCCGTTGACTTTTGTGGAGAAACGGATGGACCGCTGTCCACAAATGACTGAAATATAATGCATGACCCAGAGTTCATTATTCATTGGGATCCAACAGTCAAGAACTATATCCAAAGCATATTTACAGCTAATTCAATTCCATATATATTCAATTCTATGTCCATATATAAAAGTTGCTGTCATGTTTTGCAGTCCCAGGCAGAAAGGAGCAGGGCATCTCGACAGATCTCCCTCCCTCCAGACACCTATTCCTCCATCAGCACTCAGAAATACTTGACTAAGGCAAGTCAGACCACTCTGGCTCACCCACACAAGCACACACTCCTACACACTCACTTTATCAAAGCACATTTGCTTCTTCGTGACTGATTATGCAATTCTGTCATTGCTGATGGTGGATCTGCTCGGTGAAGTCTTTGGGGCTTTTACATTTGCGAAGCTGCCTTTGTTCTTCCAGTCCCTCCTGCTGAAGCGTGATTTGCAGTGGCGGTCTGCTCTGTATTCTCTGGGTGATGATGAGATTTTTATTTTCTCTTTCCCTTGCCCTGTTTCCCTCTGGCTCTCCTGTTTCTTGGGTTCAGCCTCACAGTCATACTTCCTCCTTGTCCTCCATTGACCTCATAAGTGCCTCCGATGACGTGCACAGGTTCAGTGCTCAGGTAGAGATATGACACTACACTAGTGCGGACGAACTGCAGGCATATGATTGTTCTGAACTTGAATAAATGTAACTAATACATTTTTTGCTTGTTTACTTTAGTATATAACACTTTATACCTCTTGTTTTGTTCACAGGTTGAGGAGATGGTGCAGAGCCACATGACTTATTCTTTACAGGACGTGGGTGGAGATGCTAACTGGCAGCTGGTTGTTGAAGAAGGGGATATGAAGGTGAGATGTAGATAAAGGCAGTAGATTTTTTTTTATTTGACACTTTGGGCTGTTTCTATGGAAGCTGGTTTCCATATCAAAGTAAAAAAAAAGATAAAAAGATAAATGGGGCTTTATATCTCATAATTTGTTTTGTTTTTTCCCTGTAAGTATATATCTTCGTCTATGTTTATCTATATATATATTACCATACAAACATTTGGGATTGGTTAGGGTTTTGTTTTTTTAATGAAAACATTTTGAAAAGTCTCTTATGCTCACCAAGGCTGCAGTTTATGTGCTGAAAAATACTGTAAAAACAGTAATATTGTGAAATTTTTGTAATAAATTTTATTTATAACTGATGGCAAAGCTCAATTTTCAGCAGCCATTACTCAGTCTTCAGTGTCACATGAACCTTCTGAAATATTTAGTTACATTATGAATGTCACTTTTTGATCAATTTAATGCATACTTGCTGAATAAAAATTGTATTATTGTATTTTTGTATTTAATTATTGTAATTATTGTATCTTTATTGTAAAAAAAATAAAAACTGAACTGTAGTGTGTGGGTGGGTAGTTTCTGGTTCAGTCACAAAACAGAAGAATATGCGAAAGAACCTTGACACCAGTCTAAATCTTCCTCAGGTTAGAGTTTGGGATATTTGCATTTTTCAGTAAACTATCCCTTTTAACCCTTTATTGTTCTCTTCTCCACTAGAGGTTGCTTTCGTTTGGTCTATTTGCGGTTCTGTCATTATTAATGCTCAGAAATGAATATGTTAGAACAATTGTTTTTGCAGTTGTACAGGAGAGAGGTGGAGGAGAACGGCATCGTTCTGGATCCTCTCAAAGCTACTCATGCTGTCAGAGGGGTCACAGGACACGAGGTCTGCCACTACTTTTGGGACACAGCTTTTCGGAACGACTGGGAGAGTATGTTCACTTCAGTGCATCATTTTGCCTTTTTGATCTTCTAATCTTACGTTGTGAGAATGAGAATAGGCTCACCTTATTTTTTTTGTTGTTTTTTTACAGCAACTGTTGAAAGCTTTCAAGTGGTTGAGACACTCTCGGATAAAGCGGTCATCATTCATCAGACACATAAGGTAGAACACTTCTACTATAACACACTCACTATTGCATCATGGGTGATCATTATATTTCAGGCGGGTTTTTTTCTCTCTACTCTGTTGCAGAGGGTATGGCCTGCTTCCCAGAGAGATGTGCTTTACGTATCGGTTATCCGTAAAATTCTCTCCACCAATGAGAATGATCCAGACACCTGGCTGGTGTGCAACTTCTCAGTGGATCATGACAGCTATCCAGTGAGTACCAGGACTTCAGAATTATCTTTTGAAAAGTTTCTTCATGCAGTTTGATATCATAGACACATATTATTCAACATTAGCAGTATACAGTAAGCTGTGCATCAGTAACTGTCTTTTTTTCCAAAACCATGTTTTCTCCAGCCCTCTGCTAGATGCATTCGTGCCAAAATGAATGTAGCCATGATCTGTCAAACTTTAATCAGCCCACCAGAGGGAGACAAAGAGATCACCAGAGACAACATCCTCTGTAAAATCACATATGTAGCCAATGGTAAGTCTTGGGGGTGTTTGTTTGGTCCTCCTAATTGATGTTTGAAACCTTCAAAAGAATTCAAACTAAAGGTTGAGTTGGGGGTTTAAAAGTACATGCAAAGTTTGGGTTCAGTAAGGTTTGTTTTTCTGAAAGCAATTTTAATACTTTTATTCAGCAAGGAGGGATTTAATTGATTCAAAAGTGATCGTAAAGATTTACATTTGTACATTTTTCGATCTTACACAATGTTTATATTTTTAAATAAATGCTGTTTCTTCGGACTTAATATATTTATCAACGAATCCTGAAAAAAAATGTATCACGGTTTCCACTAAATTGTGTTCAACATTGAAAATAAAAAATCAGTATATTAGAATGATTTTTGAACAATCATGTGACACTGAAGACTGGAGCAATGACTGCTGAAAATTCATCTTTGCCATCACAGGAACAGATTACATTTTAAAATTTATTAAAATAGAAAACGGTTCATTTAAATTGTAGTAATATTTCAAAATTTAACATTTTGTAACCGTAATATTACTGTTCAAAAGCATTACATTTTGCCAATCACAAACTTTTAAACAGTAGTATACTTTTTTTAAAATATATTATAGCAATATATTTTTATATATTTTAAACTTTTTTTTCAAGGACCACAAAAGTTAGATTAGTTAGTACTTGACCCTAAAAAAAGCCCCCATGTATTCTCAATTATCATGTTGTCCTGAAGAGGTAAACATAGCAACAGTTTGGCACTGGAGCATTTTTTGTTAGCATCAGTCAGTAGGTACAATAACAAAGCATGACTCTCATTATTTTATTATAAAATGTTATATTTTCAGTTTCCCATATATTTTGGAGTCAACTGTGAAAATCATATATAATTTGCACACTGAGTACATCACAGTTTGGATTGCAATCTTTATTTATTAAATACATGATATAGAATATATCACATTAATGCTGTGTTCATATAATCCTAAAGTAAATCCTGGTGGTTGGGCCCCTGCATCAGTCTTACGAGCCGTAGCCAAGAGAGAATACCCCAAATTCCTCAAACGCTTCACCTCGTATGTTCAAGAGAAGACCAGCGGTGAGGCTATTCTCTTTTGAGCAACACCAGGTAAGTCACACCTTAAAAAAAGTGACCATTTCCGCCTATAAATTAAACCGCATTGCACGTTTAATCAAAATCTGCTTTTCTCTTCCAGGTTGTTCAATCTACATTTCCAGTTTGCTTTCCGACCCTAATGAAGAAACGCCTTGTACACATCACTCACAACAAAGAGCTGCTCTGCCCAAGTGCTCTTGACACTCTTCAGAAACCTTTTCAAACCGTATCCATACAGACTGAACAACAGCGGTACACCAACACCAAAAATGGAACACACTAGAAAAACCAACACAGCCTGTTCATCTTTAAAAGGCCTTACTTGTTTTTCCCTAAATGAGCTGCGGCTCTGGTTTTGTTAAAGTGTTTTACATTTTTGTAAATATTTGATCATAGTTTGAGGTCTGACTATGGTCTTGATGAGATATA